ACATTTCTATCATTTTCCTAAACATGATTTGGGCCTTATGTCCTCCCACTGAGCAAATCTCAACCTATTTGTTGTTACTATCTAGAGCTACACAGCCAATTCCACAGCCACTCCTTACATGCAGCATTTTGTTGTTAGTATTATGGCCATTTTAGTAGTATATGTTTATAATACATAATAATTATATCAGAGGGAACTAGTTCATAGAGATATTATACTTCGGGTTTCTAATCTGTGGCTGATATGGCTTGAGATGTGCTCTAAGTGTAAAACAAATAATGAATTTTAAAGATTTTGCAAGAGAAAATGAAAGTAAGATATGTTGATAATTTTATATTGATTACTTATTGAAATACATTTTGGCAATACCCAAATAAAATATATTTTTTGGTTTTTCTCTTTTTTTTTTTTTTTGCAGAACTGGGGATTGAAAACTCAGGCCCTTGCGCTTGCCAGGCAAGTGCTTATTCTACTGAGCTATCTCCCCAGCCCCAGTTTTTCTTTTTTTGAGACAGGGTCTTAGTATGTAATCTAGGCTGACTTCAAACTCATGATGATCCTACTGCCTCAGCCTCCTGAGTGCTGGGACTACAGGCATGAGCTACCATACCTGGCCAATAGAATACATTATTAAAATTAATTTTACCTATTTATTTTTAATCTAACTATTATAAAATTAAAATTCCACATATGGCTAATATATTTCTATTGGCTGACATTAATCTAAAGGTTTAATTTTTGTTGTTGTTGGGGTTTTTTTTGTGATGATGGGGATCAAACCCAGGATCTTATATATTCTGGTCAAGCATTCTGTCATGACTATACCCCAGCACTGTACTTTTTTGGTTTTGAGATATTGTGATGCCTAGATTAATCTTGAACTCTGGGACTCAAGTGATCTTCCTGCTTTGGCCTCCTAAGAAACTAGGACAAAAGGCCAATGCTCCTATGCCTGGCTTAGTTTTAGTGCCAACTTAGTAAAAAGCCCTTTAATTTATATTGTTTATCCTATTGATAATATGTAACGTTTTACCTAATTAAATTTTACCTAATTAAATTTCTTCAATCTTAACAGTTTACTCTGCTGGGTGTGGTGACACACACCTTTAATTCCAGCACTCAGGGGGCTGACAGGAGGATTGAGAGTTTGAGGCTAGCTTGGACTACACAGCAAGATCCTGCTTCCAAAAAAAAAAAATTTTTTTTTTAACCTGGTTACACTATCAGTAACATTAGTATTACTCCATTTTTCTCCTGGTATCAACTGTTAACTGATAAGAAATCTATTAGTTTAATCATACTTCTATTTATAATTTGGCTTCTCATTTTAGGGGTTTTTAAGATTTGCTCCTGATCTTTGCTATTCTATAGTTTTACCATACACTGTCTAGCTTTATTTAACCTGCTTGACACTAACTTGATTTGAGGGCTCTCACTTCCTCAATACTACAAATTATTGGACATTACAAAATTAGTTTTTCACCAATTTCTGTGTTTTCTTCTCCTGCAGCTTTTTATAGAGTCTCAATTAATTCTTTATCTTTTAACTATCATATTTATCGTTCTTCTTGTGTTTTCGTCGAATTTTTTTTTAGTGTTAGCTTACATACCATTAATTCATTAAGCAGAAGTGTAAAGCTTAGCTCATCTACTAAGTTTTATATTATGATGTTGAGGACTAAACACAAGCCTTCAAACATGCTAAGCATGTGCTTTATCTCTGAGCTATACCTAAAGAAACTGGCCCATTAATCTTCCAGTTCCACCACCCCATCCCACTGGTAGTACTGCAGTACTGGGGATCAAATCAAGAGAGGCAAACTATATCCTTCGACCTTCCATTTTTCTCCCAGGCTTTTAATATACTAACTACAGCTTTAATTTCCAAGTGTTCTCTAGTTAAATCTTTACTACATTAACTTGTTCTTATTTTACTTCTTTTGTTTTATAATGTTGAGCTCTCTTTAATTGGAAAGTATATTTCTTTCAGCAACTTAAATGGCTTGAAAGTGTCTCCCAGTCAATGGAATATTATGCAGCCGTTAAAAAGAGCAAGACATTCTCATAAGATTAATGCAAAATGATCTCTACATCTAGTGAGGAGCCAGAGAAATAGCTCAGTAGAATAAGTGCTTGCCTGGCAAGTGCAAGGGCCTGAGTTCAATACCCGGTTCCGAAAAAAAAAAAAAAATACGTCCAGTGAAAAACGCAAGGCATACAATATGTGTAGAATGCTACTATTTATATAAAAGTATATGGAGGGCTGGTGAGATGGCTCAGTGGTCTAAAGCACCTACTTAGAACAAGCTTAACAAAGCACAGGGACCACGGTTCAATCCCCCAGCACCACATGCCAGCCAGCCCGCCCCCTGGTGGGCTGAGCTGGCCACACACACACACACACACACACACACACAAATAAATAAAAAAAATTTTTTTTAAAAGTATATATATGTGCATATATGTTTATACATGGATAAATTAGCTCAGAAAAAATATCGAGAAATTGGTAATAATGGTTACCTCGGGAAAGAAACCAGGTGGCTAGGCGACAGGTGAAAATAGACTTACTTTTCACTGTTTACCCTTTTGTACCTTTGAATTTTGTACCACGTGCATGCATTACCTCATGAAAGAAAAAATAAATAATTTATTTTTTAAAATAAAGGGGTTTTTTGGGCTACTCCTTAAAATTAATTTCATCCAGAAAAATGCTTGTCTGGTGGTTCATATGACATTAAAGTTAGGTATCTTTACAACTTTGGTTATAAACTTGAATGAGCCAGGGAGATGGCTCAGTGGAATAAGCACTTCCCTGGCAAGTACAAGGGCCTGAGTTCAATCCCCGGTTCCGCCAAAAAAAAAAAAAAAGGTTATAAGCTTATGTGGGAGAAGGTTAAACTTTTTCTCTTCTCTTCCTATTTGAAGGTTTTAGAGTTGTCTGGTCAACTAGGCCCCTGGTTAACAATCTGAATACATAATGAGACTTCAGGGCTCCAGTTCCATGATGATATTGGAAATATCACACATACATATTTGGTCGCTAATTCAGCCCTACTTTACTTAACTCCTATTCATCAGGCTGTGTCTTAAATCACCAAAAACCTATCTTAAGTAGAAAGAGCTTTTTATATTTTATTCAGTCTCACAAATGAGACAGACATTTCAATTGAAACCCTGATTGCATATAGGGATTCTGCTCCGGTTCCTACCTTACACGAAATACTTCAGGATTTTTTTTTAATCCTTTAACCTGAAGGAACGAAAGTGCTCAATGTCAGAGTTAGACTGAAAATCCAGCAGGCTTAAGGTGTGAGCCATGTTCAAAGCTTTGCATCTGTGTTCCAGTTCTGTCCCAAAGAGGTTTATATTGTTTCAAAAGCTGGCTATATTTTATGTGCTAATTTATTATTTTGTGTGTTGGGACTAAAGTGATTACATCACAACTCAATGTTACCTTAACTAGAATTTCCAGTTGTTCTATTAAAACATTAATATAAAAGTAACAATCTCACTTAAAAATGTCTAGAAAATAGAAAGTTAATGATAATCCACCCATTCTGACTGCTTAGTATCTTAAAATACTTGCTTTTAATCTTTCTTCTGTATCGTTTCACGTTTGTATAATTTTTACCTATAGTATTTCAAGTTATTTTTCTACAGTCTTCATAACCACCATTTTAATAACTGCATATTAATCCATCAAACTGCTCAACTGTAATTTACTTCCCACATTATTGACAATTTAAAGAGTTTCCAACAATGCTAAAAACCAATTCTTTTCACATGTGCTTTTTCCTCTCGTAAGTTTGGATTTGGCAGGTGGTAGTATGCTGTTGAGAAATGTTAAAACAACAAGACTGGTGCTGGTGAGATGGCTCAGTGGTCTAAAGCACCTACTTAGAACAAGCTTAGCTAAAGCACAGCGACCGCGGTTCAATCCCCCAGGACCACCTGCCAGCCAGCCCCGCCCCCTGGTGGGCTGAGCTGGCCACACACACACACACACACATACACAAATAAATAAAATTTTAAAAAATAAATAAATACTAAAACAACAAGACTGTCATAATTCTACACAGATCTTTATCTTTTGATACTGGAAATGGAACTCATGACCTTGCACTTACCAGGCAGGCACTGTGCCACTAAATTATATCCCCAGCCCCTACGCAGTTCTTTAGGACAAAAGCATTACAGGACTAGCATAATGGGGTAGGCACAATAACTCTAGGCCTCCAATACTATTGCAAGTGAATCTTTTTCTAAATCCTGTGAATCTGCCACATTATGACTCCGTGCCATATAGCTCCTTAATGGTCACCTGAGTGCCTCTGACCTGTAAAATTCTCTTGGTGCATCAGCATCATTAGTGACGCTGACTACCTCCTCCCCTACCTCTGCTGAGCTAGGATCCTAGTTCTTACCCCGCCTATTTCCCATAAGGCTCCTGATATGCCCAGGAGGTGGGACTTCCTGTCATAGCCCGGTTGCCTAGTTACTCGCTCCGCCGATATCATTTCCCTATGCCTCCACTATATATACCCAGTACCGCCCCTAAATAAATGAGATTTGATCAGAATTCTGTCTTGTCTCTATTTCTCGCGTCTCCTGTCCTTTGTCCCCTCTTCAATTCCCTGCTCCTCCCCCAGGTGACCTTCGTTGACTGACCCACTGGTTCGGGACACAAGACTAAAGTTCACAATGATGACCTTGATATACAAAGAAGGAAAAAGATCATATAGAAGTAACAATGTAGTTTTCTCTGAAAGATTCCAATTCAAAATAGTTAAAAGTATACTTTGTAATTAAAGAAATACAAAAAAAAAATAAAAAAAATAAAAAATAAAATAAAAAAAAGAAATACGTAAATTTTACAAGGAATTAGAATCACAATTCATATATGTGAATCATGAAGCACTGGTAAACATATGTTCACTAATTTCCAAACAAAATACTGAGTCACTGTAATAAAATTTACTTTTTTCTGTAACACTAACCTGATATTATTCACACAGTCTTCATGAGCTTCAGAAAGTGTTTTTATGTGCTTTGAAGATATAGGATCAAAAAGCAGAACTTCAGTCTGTTCACAAGCAACCGTCAGTACTGACCTGAAAACAAAACATTTCCATTGTTTAGTTTTCTAGTAGTCTGTGTTTTTTTTTTAATTCTCTGGTTACTGATATTCATTTATTTATAATAACATAAACTAAAGATAAAAAACCTTTTTGCCCATGTTTGTAGGTAATATTTAAAAGATACTATCCACTGTTTTTAAGAATACTACTAAATGGCATTGTGTCTTATACATATGATAAGATATAAACTGGAATAGCTTATGTTTGGGTCCCACACCTAAAGGATCTATCAGAAATTTAAATGCATGTACCTTTTGACCCAGGAATATTTTCTGGGGATATAATGAAGAGGAATAATGTATAAATACAAAGCATACATAAAAATATGCTTCATTATAAAAAGAAATTGAAAGGGGATTGATTTACTAAGTATGGCATATAACAGCATTCCCTTGCCTATGAAGAATATGTTCCAAAATCCCTACTTGGTTGCTGACACTGTAAATAGCCCGAAACTCTACACAAATTGTTTTTCTCACATATGCATACCAATGATAGTTTATTTGTAAGTTGTAAGATTAATAAGTATGACAAAGAACAATTATAAATAAATTATGTGAACGTGGTCTATCTCAAAGTATCTCACTGTACTGTAGATATTAGCAACACCGTATTTCCTTTTTTTTCCTTATTGGAAAGTTTTACTTGAAGGGCATACTTTCTAGCTGCTTGTTATCCAAATTTCCAGCATTACTACTCTTGTGCTTTGTGACTGTTATTACATGAAATAAGGGTTACTTGCACACATACATTGGGATACCAGGACAGTCAATCTGATAACTAAGATAGCTACTGAATGACTAATAGGTGAGTAGCGGTATAACGTGGATACACTAGACAAAGGGATGATTCGCATTCTGGTAAGGGAGAACCAGGTAAGAGATTTCATCAACTATTAAGAATTATGGGGGCTGCCTTTTGGCTCTCTGAGCAGCACCATGGCGGTAGGCAAGAACAAGCGCCTTACGAAAGGCGGCAAAAAAGGAGCCAAGAAAAAAGTGGTTGATCCATTTTCTAAAAAAGACTGGTATGATGTGAAGGCTCCGGCTATGTTCAACATAAGA